ATCCTGGGAATTGTAGTTTATTGTGGCACTAGAGCTCTCTGATAGAGATGGCTAAATGTCTCACAAAACTACAGTTCTCATAATTCCCTAGCATTGAGCCAGTTAGAGTCAAAGCAGTCTCAAACTGGATTATTTCTGCAGCATGTTTTGGATCTCTAGTCTACGAAAGCTCATGCTACCAGCATCTTTCTTTCGGTTAGTTTCAAAGATCCAAGCATCCAAAGATGCTACAAGATTTTCCAGACTAACACAGCTATGTCTTTGAATTCTACCAGTGCAGCTAATGTCGACAACAACAACAGCAAAGAACATTAGAAGCGGGTTAGCAACAGAGAAAAAATTGGTTCCCAAGCCTTCATATCTTTTCCTAGCCTCAAAGTCTGAAGCAAATATAACAAGCATCCTGCAAGGTCACTAATACAAGGTAACTCTTCATTGCCACTGGGCAGTTGTTAACATTCAGCCATGATGCTAACAAGGACTCTAAAACCCATATGCCTGGTTGCAGGGGCCCAACCAGGTACTACAGTCTGTTTACCCATTCTCCATGAGATTCCCATCTTGTACTAAATTTCATCTACATGCCATGATGCACGCACACATCTTTTTTTATCCAAACAAATGTGCTGGAAAACATATAGACAGAGCTGCAAAGGGTTGCATTGCTCCCTGATGCATTCTGGTTCCACCTCTGATGGTGTGCTTTATGTGCATCCCATACACTATCTATACATTGGGTGTGCATGCATAAAGAAGCGTAAAGCACTTTATTATCTCTTTAAAGATGGAACTGGTCCCCGTGTGATGAAGTCCATAGAGAGAAGACAATACCAGAATAAGGCTTACCTAGTTTGTTAACTGTGTGGAGGTTTGAATCTCTGGAAAATCAAAGCTGTACAGAATCATCATAGAATCATACTGGAAATGAAAAGATCAGGTTTTCGTTCGAATTCGTTCGAATTAACCCCCTTTTAAATTCGAATTTAGTTATCAGACGAGGCGGAATGGGACAAATCCCGTAAATTAAAGTCTTCCGCTCGTCCGGTTTATTTCCACTTTCTCCCCGCGACTCCCCGTGTGATAACGTCCATAGAGCTGGAAGAGATTCTCTGGATCTGTACAGAAAACAAGCTTGCTCCATCCTCAATATGACATCCCTCCAAATGTTTAAACATAGCTACCCTATATGGTATAGTAGTTCAAGTATTGGATTATGACTCTGGAGACCATGGTTCGAATCCCGGCTCAGCCATGTAAACCCACTGGATGACTTTGGTTAAGTCACACTATCTCAGCCTCAGAGGATGGCAAAGGCAAACCCCCTCTGAAGAAGCTTGCAAAGAAACCCCATGATTTTGGGAAATGACTAGAAGGCACACAACAGCATACCGTATGTGATGTAATGCATGCTTATTATTCCACTACTAAATACTAAATTTCATCTTCATGCCATGAAGCACGCACACATCTTTTTCTCCAAACAAATGTGTTGGAAAACATATAGACAGAGCTGCAAAAGGTCGCATTGCTCCCTGATGCGGCATGCATTGGGGTTCTCTACTGAAAGGGCTCCACCACCATCATCATCATCATCATCATCATCATCATCATCATCATCATCATCATCATTACTATTATTATTATTATTATTATTATTATTATTATTATTATTATTATTATTATTATTTATATAGCTTCAGCTGCTGGTAGAAAGCAGTACAGCTTTTCTCCTTGTTATTTCTTAGTGGGAGAAAGTTGTGCTTAATTAACCTCATGTTAACGCCTTTCAACAGAAAAACAAAAGCAGATGAACAGACAGCATTTTATTTTAAAAAAAGAACAGCATGGGAAAATATCTTTGTCGGCAAACGCTAAAAGGAAAAAAAGAAGAAGGAGAAGATAAGGGCAGACAGGAAATTACTTCCATATACCAACTGTAAAAGATGGGGGGGGGGGTTGTTTGCTTTTTAAATTGCAGTCCTTTTAAAAAGAAAAACACACACCCAACATTGCTTATCTGATGCTTGTCAATATTCAGCCAACAGACCAGATGCACAATGAAATGCTCCTTACACAAACTCTCTTTTGTTACCCTAGATTTAATCTAATAATGGAACTAATTCCCATCTTGCCAGGTCGATATTCGAAGCCTCAAAAGAATGGCAAGGAAAAGCATTCCTTATGAAGCAAACATTTTCCCAAGAAGTACGTACATCCTTGAAAACTGTCAGAGAAGGTAAGATTTCTTCTCCGGTAATAGTCCTGGATAGGGAGGGTTAAGAACTTAATTGCAGCACATTCTCGGATAATAATAGTGATAATAACACTGAAAATAGTTGTGCCTGTTCCTGATTTCCGCTGTAGCTATCTCATATTATTTGTGATTTGTAAGTATGTTTTCATATTTTGTCTGTTTACTTGTAGTTTAGGGGGAGTGGGCTATTGGGGGATGGTATTGTTTGCTTTATCTTGTAAGCCGCCTTGGTTGTATTTTACAGAGAGGCAGGAAATAATAATAATAATAATAATAATAATAATAATAATAATAATAATGACTTTTTTTTCCTTTTAAAATAAATAAATCATTTCTTCATCTTTGGGATGGGAAGAACTTGAGATTTCAAAATCCTGAATGCAGAAGAAACTTATACCGATATACCCATTTAGGTTCAAGAGTCTGAAAATTTAGCTCAAGGGAGGGCAAAGTGCAGCTTCTGAGGCCCCTAAGGGTGCATCTACACTGTAGAAATAATGCAGCTTGACACCACTTTTTAAGTGCTGTAGCTCCATCCTATGGAATCCTTGGATTTGTAGTTTAACAAGGTCTTTAGCCCTCTCTGCCAAAGAGTGCCTCACAAAACTACAAATCCCAGGATTCTGTAGGATGGAATCATGGCAGTTAAACTGGTGTCAAACTGCATTATTTCTACAGCGTAGATGCACCCCAACTGAGTATGGCGAAGATGGCAAAAAGTTTGAAAAAAGGAGATGCTGCAGCAGTTTGCTTTTGCCTGAGCTTCCTGGGAAGGGAAAGATTTTGCCCCTCTTCTTCTCTGCCCTCTGCTGAATGAATGGAGTGCAAACTATTTTTGCTTTTTGTACTTGGTTTTGTAAGCTGAGGAAAAACAGGAGGAAAGTGGGAGAAGGAGAGAGAAACTGGGACATTTTAAAAGCAGTTGAAAAAGTGGACAACTGAAGATTAATTGAGACTATCCCTGCCAAATTAATTTAAATTAACCTATTAAATATTTCTTCCCATCAGATACCAAATAGATTCTGCTTTCTCCATTGTTTATGTGGTATTTGGCAACCCTGGGTTGTTGCTATTATGTGCTTTCAAGTCAACTCTCACTTATGGCAACCCTCTCATAGGATTTTCTTGGCAAGTCATATTTAGAGAAGGTTTGCCATTGCCTTCTTCTGAGGCTGAGAGTGTGTGACTTACTTGACCAAGATTGCTCAGCAGGTTTCCATGGCTGAGGGGAGATTCAAGCCCTCATCTTCTGGAGTCCAAGTCCAGCATGCAAAGCACTACAACGCATTGGCTCAACTATCCTGATGATCTGGGCCTGAATTTAGAAAAGGAAGGACATCTCATGTGCACTTCTGGCCTCTCCTCCATCCTCTTGTCACCTTGAAAGCTTCCCTGTGTTGCCTGTGACTATGGTCATGAAGAATAGTAGCTGTTCCAAAATAAATTTAATATAGATAAAAGAGAACAGATAAAAGAGAGCAAAGATAAAAGGGATATATTGGTGCACCCTTCGCCTTGCATCTGGACTCGCTCATCTAAGCATGACGCCGGAAGTTTGTTTCAACTCTGCGCTGCAGACCACTTTGATTCTCCTCTGCCTGAAGCTGCTTATAGAACCGATTTTATATGTAGCCCATAATAATAATAATTATAATAAAATTTATTTATATACCACCCAATGGTTACCCAATACTCATGGCAAATCCGCTTCCCCTCTGCCCCCAACTCTGAATTGGAAAGGCATTTGTGGCAAACTAGGTGTGTGA